TTTGCTGTTGTTAAACATAACAATGAATAGATAACCTAAGTTCTATTCTGTAATCTTCAAAATATAGCAAATGTTACAAGTAAGTTCGAGCAACTAGGACAGGTTATATGAATATCTTGAAAATTCTAGTCGCTTGCCCAAATGACCCTGATGCTTTTCGCTTGCTTGGTGAAGCTAAATATGCGCTCAAAGATTATGGAGGAAGTATTGTTGCATACAAAAGTTCTACAATGGTCAATGTGTTATGGACTTTTTGGATAAATGGATAATATTGTGTATGTAATCATGTTCCTAAAGGTTTTGACTTTCTCACTTGGGAATCATTATCAATAAATTTTTAATAGGCATGAATACAAAATATAGTAGGATAACTTCTAGTTCGTAAGTTTGTGACAATGCTTCCATGGCAACTTTTTATTTTCTTGCAGGTATCGAAGACTATTGAATTTGAAGTCTTCTGTGGCCTCGCAAACTCATTGCTGGCTGCAAAAAAGCCTGATGAGGTTAGTCAATATGCTAATAAATATAGTCATTTGCATATGCTGGATTATAAATTCACTTTAAGAACAATAACAATGATGTTTCCAGCAGTGAATCATAATTCTAATCATTGTTAAGATTAAATTCTGGTTTGCAACTCGATTGTGGGCAGTTGTTGACACCCAAGTTCAATGCAGAGAAGCAAGCGGAGTTCAACAAAGGTGTTGAAGGGGCGACTAAATTTCTGCTCTCAAAGTTCAGTGACCTCTAATTGTAAGTTTAACATAGCATTATTTTAACATGTTTGGTAAGTAGGTGATAATACCACTCGAAAGTATCAAGTAGATGATGACAAAATATTGGGTTTTTAATACTTATTGTGAAGGTCATTTTGGATAGCTTCTGCATTGTGTAAAAGTACTTCCGGAGTTGGCTTCCTTTGGAAGCTCTTTTAAGCATCAGATAAAGCTCCGTCAAAAAATTATCTAAATAGATTTAAAAGAAGTATCTTAGTTTCAAAATCCACTTTAAGCTTTCAAGAAGTCATCCTAAACTGTCTCTATTTTGGCCAACCATAAGCTCACAGTTACATATTTCCAAATTCAATATCTAACATCGTCTTTTAATTACATTGAGAGATGCACACCTCCCATTTGAACATCATTTCTTTATCAATAGACAGGGCTTGGGAATCCAAAGATCCCCAATAGGTCTAGGTGGAGACCTAAAATCCCTTCTAGGCTTAGATGGTGCTTCTACTAAAAATATGCACACCCATGTAGTAATTATTAATGGAACAATATGGTTTTCTTTTGTTTGTTGGATCTTTGTTCTGTAAATTTGTATGTTTTATTTGAATATTTTGATTATAATACCTTTCATTCTAGGAGGAGATTAATGATGGTGATCATTTTGAGGATGACAATCCTGTTCCATTGGTGATGGTGGGTGGTTATAGATGTCTTTGATCTAGGATGTGATAGATAGTGATTTTAGATCTTGAGGTGAAAGTAGGTGATAAATAAATAGAAAAAAGTATAGGCTAAAGACAACATGGGAACTCCAATAATTATTTTTCGGGTCAATTATGCATATGCGGTAATTTATCTGATTTGGACCAACGGAAAGAAGATGAGGATGTTGGTTTTTTTGGGTCAGATGAGCCCACTTATTCGAAGACGTGAAACTGTTTGTCGGTAATTTACGTTTCAAAGTTAACAATGCTACTCTAGCTGAATTTTTGAATAAGCTGGAAATGTTGAGATGGTTGAGGTAATTTGATTACCTATTTAATAATTTCATTCTTGATTTCTTCTGAAATTGTTTCAAGTTTTAATTTACCTTTCAAAGTTGACAGTGCTGCTCGAGCTAAACTAATTGAACAAGCTGGAAATGCTGAGATGGTTGAGGTGATTTCATTACCTATTTAATAATTTCATTCTCGATATGTACTCAATTTTTTCAAGTTTTATGCTGGCATTAAATTGAAAAGGTTATGATTTTATTTTTTTAATTGAGCATCATATGTTGAGTTCCGTATCTTTTTGGATTTTACTTGTTTATTTTTTTCTTGATGCAATTTTTCAGTTGTAATTTTTTTCTTTTTTTATCCTATCTTTGAACATTTGCCCCAAAAGAAATTATGTATCGTTCATAGGGTCCACAATTTAACTATCAACTCTTTCTTCTGCTACATGTTCTATGTGTATGTAAAGATCTTACTACAGAGCAAACTATTAGTCTAATGATCAATCTATTAAGGAGATGAAACATACACTTCCACCATCAACTTTTGCCTCTACATAGTCATCCTTATAGCCTCAGCAGCAACTTGCATTGCAGTCAATTCTTTCAATGTATTATGTGGTGCTGAATTAAATCGGACAAATTTTGTCTTTCTATTTGATAATTTATTTCTTTTATACAAATGTATGTATGAAAATTTTGTAATACAATCTCCCATCTACTCTTAGCATTTAAGACGCTAATATTACCTTCAAAATAATACAACTTGTGCATTGCACGGGGTAAAAACTAGTTTTTATGTAGAAGATCGAACACAAATCATAATGGAAAATCTCAATTCTTTATACCATAGATAAAATATGGTTTATTGGCACAAAATGTCCATATGATTCGCTTGTAATGTACAAAACGTTCATACATTTCAATTTTCACATTTTCATCCTTATTTCTATGTTTTATTATGAAAAACGTCATTTTCAACAATTTTTATATAATTCTTCAATAAGAAAATGTAAAATAACATACCATCCTATTTAAATAAATAAAAAAAAGAGCAAATTGCAATCACACTCCCAAACTTTGCAAAAAAGTGCAGTCCAAATAAATTAAAAAAAAAAAAAAATCTATCTCTCTCTCTCTCTCCTCCTCCTCCACCACCACCACCACCTTTTAGTGCCTCGATCTTCTATCAAATTTGAGAATGATCTAAATTTAGTGATATGTCCTGGAATCCATGACCTAGCCTTTCCCATTTTCTCTCTAGGAATTGGCAAATTTTGTCCCTTCATGGAGCCGCCACCAATTCCTCCGAAATCCACTATGTTGCCACTCCCAACACCATGGAATTTCACCTCTCCACCGACGCCAATAGTCCCTCAATCCACCGTAACCAAACAATCACAAATTCAACTCAAAATAGGCCCCAAATGCACCAAGAACTGCACGACTTTTTCACCAATTCTAGCCATTCCGTCAATATCCTTGGTCATCCACTATTGCCGATCAATCCACCTCATCTAGCTGCCTATACTCATGGAGAAACATTACAAAAAAAAGTATAATATGATGCTGATGTGCCTTGAAATTCCCACTTGTTGTGGGTTTGAGGGTATTGATTCACATGATATGCCACATGAATTACCAAACTAAGTCAATGAGCCAAGTCGGAAAAAAGCTCGGGCTCGGCTCGAGCTTTTTTGGGCCCGAGTCGAGCCGAACTAAGCTGGGCAAAAAAAAATGAGGCTCTGAGCCCGAGCTTTTTTAGGTCGAGCTTTTTTTGGGCTCGAGTTGAGCCGAACTAAGCTGGGAAAAAAAAATGAGGCTCTGCTCGAACTTTCGACCCGAGCCTTAGTGGGCTGAGCCGAGCCCGGACCGAGCCGTTCGAATTTTTTTTAATGTCAAATCTACATTTTTACTTAAAAAATTTTAAATTTGTACGATTTATAGGTACTATAAATTAAATAAAAAAATTCGAGTTGGACTTGAGCTTTTTGAGGCCGAGCTTTTTTGGGCCCGGACAAAAAAATGAGGCTCGTCCCTAGTCCGAGCCGAGCCCGAATCGAACTTTTTCCTAGCCGAGTCCGAGCCAGCGAGTTTTTTTGCCATCCCTAGAATTACCTCATCAACACACTCGGCAGTGGATGTGAATTTAATTTCCCCAATTAACTGGTTCATACTTCAATGGATAAGCATCCAATCGATCTAAATTATTCACCAATTGATTCAATTTTGGAGTGGAACTTGGCTGTTGACACCGTGGAACATGGAATTCCAAATTCTCCAATTTTTGGACAGATTAAGGCATTGGGAACACTACCAATGGATCCAGAAGCATTGAAAGCCCTTGGGGTGATCTCCATCCCCTCCAATTCTTTCGATGGCCACACAGTTCCAAATCGAGGCACCGGATGTTCCATTCCCAATAATATATTGCTGGTGATTTGGAGTATATTGTTGGAAATTGTTTATTGTTCATGGAGAGAGAGAGAGAGAGATTTTTTTTTAATAATTTATTTGAGATTCATTAGCATTTTTTTTTAAAAAAATTGAGAGTATAGTTGCAATTAATTCTTTATTTTACTTTACTTTACTTTTTGTTTTATTTGAATAGAATGTTTTATTTGTCATTTTACATTTTTTATTGAGAAATTGGATTTTAAAAAAATGATAACGACGTTTTCTACAATTAAACGTGAAAATATAGATGAAAATGCAAAAAATTGTGGACGTTTTGCGCACTAAAGTGCCAATAAGTTGATAAAATATCACAAGTCTCTCTTTGCATTCTATGCTTTATACATTAGTAGACGTGTCAAGCCCTCAATCTCCCTCTTGAGATCTTCCACGTCGTACGCTAAATTTAGCTAAAAATATGTTTGAAAAAATTTAAGTTATCTACAAGCAACTTTTACACATTAAACATTATATTAAGGATAATTCTATTTGTACCGAATGCGAATTATCGAAAATATGCCACCCTTTCACATGCGCGCGGGATCCGCGTGAATAAAAAACTCTCAAATGTGTGGTTCCCACACTCTAGTGTGAATATATGTAAAGGATTATGTAAAAGAGAGTGTACATGTAGCATAACCTTAATATTAAACACCCTCATTCTTATTCTCGGGATTTTTGACTTGTAGTCTTGTACACTAAAATTAAGCACGGATTTCTCAAAATTCTCGCCATCCCATTGCAATGCATATGCTTCCTCCCCGTGTATAGCATATTTAAATTTAACAATAATGAATAATTCTCCAAGTACAAGAAATATTGTCAGAATTCCTACAGAAATTTGAATTGGAAAATCCCGTCTGTGTATCTGATTTTTTCCCTCTTGAATGTTTCGATCCATTCCATCCATTTCAAATACCCGTATGCATTCTGTGAAATTAATCTGTACTTATAGCATTGTTCAACAATAATAAGCTAACTTGCTTGTTTTAAATAAAAATTACAATTATAACTCTTTTTTTTTTCTCTTTCTGAAATTATAGGTTAATGCTACTAAAGTAAAAAGGGCTTATCATATTTACGCGAAAAGTGCTAAAACGCTTTTACGCTATCGCGAAAGACGTTATAAGGCTCGCTGCAATCTTCAATGCCACTGTCCAATGGCCGCACCACCTGACCTGGAAGAGTACTCCGCCGCAGCAACCCTCATCCCCTTCAGCCGTCCAGTTCCCCTTCTCCGTCGACCCATCAAAGCCGGCCCCGCTGATGACCCATCATCTGGTCCATATCTCCTCGCATTCGAGAATCCCCAGTCCTGGGCCGTCGCGTACAAGGCCTGCGAGGCTCAAATAATCGAACAATGCGAATCGGGTGCCCGCATCGGGTGCTCCATTTCCGCTTCCAGCAAATGCAAACCCCCCTGGTGGAAAGAGATTCTAGGCCTAGCTAAACAGGACTTTAGTGAAAGAGCAAAATGCGAGGAGCTCGAAATGGAAGCGTGTTTTGAAGCTGCAAAAGCGAAGTGCGGTGAATTCGCGAAACAGAAGTGTTTGCCAGTGTTTAAAAATGCTAGGATTAAAGTGAATGGGTGGAATTCTAAAGAGCTGGATTGGAAAGAGGTTTCAAATTTGATTTCTGGGGTGTGTTTTGTGAATAATGAAAGTTTTGGGGTTGGGTTTCTTGGATTTGACAAGTCTTGGGGTGAATTTAGATGTAAATTCGAGGTGACTAATATTAAAGGGAGTGATTTACTGGGTTCTAATGACCCGGGCATTGATGATTATTTGATAAATTGTAGTGGAAAAAGGTAATTTTTGTGGTATGAAGTGTAACTTTTTTTTTGAGAATTGTAGATTTACGAATAATTTGGGCTTGGAAGGATGTGGAAAAGACTGAAATTTGAATTGAACTCTCATAGTGTCTGGAATTTCGGATGAAATACAAAAGGTAAGATTTATGTTTCCTAACTCTAGAATTTTGTTCTTGAATCTGTAATATCACTATTATTTCATAACATCTTGATGATCTACATGTACCTAGCTGGTGTTATGATGTAAAAAATTCAGAAAGGGTGCACGTTTTACATCACTTACATGAGCTTTGTTATGTTATCGCAGTATATTTACAAACTCTAAGATTGAAAAAGAAGTAAACTTAAATTTTTTTCTTCCTGATAGCGCGTGAAGACTTATTGTCAGAATAGGTAAGATTCTGTACTAAAAAGTGGAAAAGAAGTCACTTTTAAGAAAACTCAAGCATATTACTTAAAAGTAAGTTTTAAGCTTAGCCAAACATTAATGTTCATCGTTATTATGACATACTGAGATGCGTTTACATAGTTCTGGAATCATGTCCAGAGAGTAGACTAATAGTAATGAATATGATGTATGTTTACGATGTTCTAGTTGTCTTCTCATATAATTATAACCAAATATAGCATCCAATCAATGCACCAGGATGAGGAAAATCAAAAGTATATATAGCTATTGAAAATTTACCATGGAAAACATACAAGAGAGAGATTTTAAATGTTCTGAACTTTCAATGCCATGTATAGTCTAGTGAGTAGTGACAAACAGAGCCATCTAAGATGTTAACAGAAGCCTAGCAGATGCATTCTTGTTAGATGAAAACCTAATGTATATCCCGATCTTTAAATGTTTTCTAGGTAAGTTTTTAAAGATTTTCTTCAGGAAATCAAGCTAAAGAACTATTACCCTGAATTTTGTGATATAAGTTTTACCGCGTCCAGAATGATCACAATTATGGTGTTGCCATCAAATTTTATGCATCAAGTATGGGAATCTAACCAGAAGGCACTCATGCAACTGGTTTATTTGGTTGGTTCAAGCTTAAAAATTTACTGGATAATGTCCTGAAGTTACTTATATCAATTGTAATTGTAATAATTAATCTAGTGCATAAAGTAAGCATTAATGGTTTATTTCTGTGTATGATGGATGATAATTGTTTACTTGTGTACTCTGTGTGGGTGAAACTTGAAAACTGTTGTCTTGTTTTTGAATGAATTGTCATGCTCGGACAAGTACTATCTTTCTAATCTGTGTGGAGATAATGATACGCATCCTACATCTGCCATTATTGAAAAAATTGCGCTATGTGGCAAATTGTAGGTTCGAATCTGTGTGAAGATCATGACACGCATCCTACATCTGCCATTATTGAAAAAATTGTGCTATGGTGGCAAATTGTAGGTTAAGTATGCCATTTAGCCACATATTTTAGGGGAAGAAAAATTTCTTGCCACATGATGAATTTAGAGGAATCGGTCAACTTAAAACCACATGTAACAAGGTCCCTGAAAGGCTATTGGTCTTTGTGGTTTAGTTTTTGAGACAGTGATGTATATAGCGGAGTGGAAGAAGAGAATTCATTGAAATGGCCCTATGAGAATGGGAGAAGGATTGTTTAATTTAGTTGGACTCAATTATATAAATACAGAAGACAGGAGATTAAGGACCAACTGGCGCAACAAAAATGGCTCGTAGAATCCATAAGATAATAAGAGTGGGATGACAAGGCAATGAATAGGAAGTTGGTTAAAGGTACAGAAAAGATATGGTGATAGCACAGTATAAGAACAAGTAAGTGATTATAAGAAAAAATGAAATTACAGCAGTTGGAATATAATTAGCTATAATGGAAGAAAGCTTTATCTTTAAGCAGTCTGTAGATGGATGGGGCTTCTGGATGCACTCTTGAATTTGGAAGAATTGTAGGTTTGTTGGTATAATGACAGGTTATTTATTTCTCACGAACGCGAATACACCACGCATCTAAAGAATTGTTAGGAAATTTGGTTGGATCAAGTGGCTGCCAACTGGAAAATTCATGCTAGAAGTTTCTCAATCAAGATCATGCATTTTTGGTTGTTGTGTGGTTATTATCTACCTTGAATGATATTACTGAATAACCTTGGAAAATATTCAATTTTTTTGCCTTAAAACTGAACCATTGATTTTATCCCCGTTTTTTGTGTGTAGCCATCAAGATTAATATATTATACTCTTATTGAAGAGATTTTTCTTCCTCCAATCAAGATTGCACATGCAAATTTTTGCATTTTTATCACAGTTTGAATGATGTTACTGGTTTTATTTATTGACTTGTGTATAAGATGTTAGATAACAAATATTCAAATAACGTTTCTTGTTTCTCTCGTTGGCATTTATCCATTGATAGTTTTTCCCATTGTATACTTCCTTACATGTGTTTTAACAACCATATTTTTAGTGCTGAGAAATATTTTACCAGATGTGAACAGTTTTCTCCCTCTGACGTGTAGACTGGGATTAAGAATAGGGATATGCAGGCAGTGTTTGCTAGGTAGCCTCTTCAGATTTGTACCTCTCACTAACTATTGTGGAACATACACGGCAAGTCATTTTCTATACGCCCATTATTTTCCAATTTTTTGCCCGCTCCCAAAACATGGGAGAAATTTGTGTAGCAGCTGGAGTTTCACTTCTAGCTGGTGTGCTAGAGTCAAATTGGTTGCTAATCTCTCTCTCTTTCTGGAGAAATACTTTAGTTGAACAATTACATCACCACACGTGGCGGACCATCCACCCAAATTACGACACCTAGGACCCCATACCACTTAAGTCACTTCTTACCCACTCGGTGTTCGAGGTGTTGTGATTTGAGTGGTTCAAGGTCGAGTGATTTGAGTGGACTTGTCCTACTACATGCATACAGGAACATCACAGGCCCGCATGCATTTTTCCGTATATGGTCCTTCATGAATGTATGAAAACGTGGGCGACTTTATACATGTATACCACAATATACCTCTAAACTGAAAATTCAAGCAGTGGGGCCTATCTCCCTAGTGCAACCCTCCATCGACCTAACTACGAAGGTGAATATGCACTCGAGTGGATAAGTATAATTAGGCTCTATGCACAGAACACGTTCCAGCCCTCTGAAATGGAAAACCGTGAAATGGAAAATGGGAACAAACTTGGGAAAACCAAGGAAATGATCAGCAACTTTCTTGATACAAGTAGCGCTTAACTTTGAACATTGTGTTTCCACTTGCTGTCATGCTTCTTATATCATTGTCAAATGTCACCTTCTTTTTTACGCAATTGCATCCTAAATTTCCATCTGCAATTGTTGAAAGGTTCACCACACATTGTGAAAAACACAATGAAAGTTGCGAGTTTTGACTGTTAAGAATTGGGGTCCATCTTAAAAGGTCAACCTTATTAAGAGGAGCAGTCCAATCCTTTATAAATTGGTCTATGTTTATATCTTTAATCGATGTGGGATTATATTTCTTAACATGCCCCCTCAAGATAGTGGCTCGTTTGAGTAGATCAATCTTGAAATTTGTATGCTCACTTTTGGAGTCTTAACCGGATCGAATTGTTCGTTAGAGTTTAATGGGCTCTGATACCATGTTAAGAATTGTGATCCATCTGAAAAGGTCAACCTTATTAAGAGGGGTAGTTCAATCCTTTATAAATTGGTTTATGTTTACATCTTTATTCGATGTGGGATTATATTCCTTAACATTGACTTGCGGAGTCTATCGTGTATTTCATTTTAATGCAGTGTGGCTGATTTTATATCTTGCAGGAAATTGCTAAGAGCTTTCCTCTTTAATTGTTCTTAATGTATTTGGTCAAGGTCATGTTACGTGCCCTCTTTCAATTAATAAACTGGGGAAAAGTGACACGATAGGCTTTTCAACTTTTAGTGAAATTTTATAGCGTTTCTATGCCTTTTTTTTTTTTTTTCAATTTGATTATTGTACTTTAATGGTTGTTAAGTTGAGTCACTAACCTTCTAAATGGAATTATGCAAATTTGCTCGGGCCTTTTCTATGAATTTTTTGCTTGCTTCGACACTCAGCTAGCTTTTAAATTTTTAGACGAAATAATTTTGTTAGTGTTGAATATATACTTAGGGGTATCGTTTGATGTTCAGTACTAGACATGCTTGTAAAATCTTTTTTTTAATGTTTTTGTTTTAATAATTATGTCATAGTCGAACATATTAATCATCTAACGAAATACAAATCAACGCGGTTTTCTAGGTGAGGTGGAAAGGTTGATTTTGAGTGTGGATACGTGTAAATTCACTACTCATGTCAAAGTAGTGTTCCCGTTGAATGCAACTTTTCTATTAGGCTTGAAACCTGTTTGGCTAAGCTTAAAAGAAGCCAAGTTGAAATTGCATTTAAGTAATTTTTTCTTATAAATATGTTATTTTTTGTGAAGTAATGAAGTAAGGATTACTTTCAAATTGAATTACACATATTAACTATGACAAAAAAAAAAATTTATTTATGAGAATGTTTTAAACTTTAGCCAACCATTCACAAAATATAGAATGCATTTGAAAAAAAATGAGGTCACTATGCTTTAGTTTTGTTTTATTCCAAGTCACTTTGTTCAATTTCGTTACATAATTTAGATTGGACAATGACGTGATTGTTACACGGTAATAGCCATTTTATGTGGCAATAAAAATAATCGTGAAAAAGTGATACAATTAGAAACTTGTTTCGTACGTTAGAATTGTGGATCGAAAATAGCTCAAACCTGTCACCTGTGTAGATATTTCGGTTGTCCACTTTTTCGAAGTCCCTTTTTTTGTGTTCGTTAGTATATAATGGTCAAGTGAGTGACTTTTGTCGTCTATCAGCATATGGCCAATCTATATTGATAAGCTCGACTAAATAAGACTCGAAAGGTTCAAAGACGAAATGTAGATTTAAAAGCAATTTAATGCTTTAAAGATATAGCTTACAATTTCCAGCTAAAGAAAACCTGCGTACAAT